GGGACCCAATGACCACCCCCTCACATCTGCTGGAAACACTGGCAAGTGGGAGGCCTGTCAGTGCTCCTGGGTGCCTGTAATTTGTAGCCTGCTTGAACCCTTTATCCAGGATTAATGTTAGGAGTATTAATGTTCACTTTTCCCTCTTACTGTGACACTTTCTCTGAAACCATGATTTACCGAGAGCTAGCTCAGACTCTGTGACTTCCTGTCCCTAGGTGCCAGGCAGAAACTTCTGGGGTGAGGTCCAAAGCATCTATCTCTTGTTGAGGTCAGAGGCTGTGGAGAGCCATTAAAGTGCTGATATAACAGCATCTCTATAAAATCCTGTAGAAACAAATGTGCCTAACCGAAAAGTACAAAATATTACCATTGTTACACATTTGTTTCATTTGGTGCCAAAACCAAAACTGAAAAGGGAACTGGTTAAGTAGAACAATAAGACCAGGGTCCTATGGTACACTTGCTATCCCCACCCCACCCCCAATCTATTTATTGATAAATTTTATGTAATTCCAAAGTCTACCTTCCCAGAAGCATTTGTTCATACGCAATCTGTCAACCATTACTCAGCTGTTTTAGCTTGAGTTAGGGGGTCATCATCCAGCCCACTTGTTTTGACTATGGAGTTTGGTGAGTTAGCTCTCTTCCATTGAAAACACAAACACATGGCGGGGAGAGTACAGCAGGTAGGGAGCTTGCCTTGCCCACAGCCGACCTGGGTTCCATCACCAGCATCCCCTAAGCCCCGAAGGGTGTGGCCCCAAACCATAAAACCCCAGACACAAAAATTTTCCATCTATATTATGGGCTGACTGGTGTGATGAAAAGTCTTCTCTCTTCAGGGAAAGGAGAGGGAAATCAGGAGAAGGAAAAAAAGTGAGTAAAACATGTATGTATGTTGCTATAGCTTCCCGTCAGTCTCTCAGGACAGAACCAGGTGAGGTGCAGGTCCCCAGTGCGCTTCCTCAGTGCTGTGACATGAACCTGACAAGTGGTGTTTTGTTGCCAAGGGTGTGGCAGGGGGTGGCCAGGAGCGTTCTGAAGCTGTCTTTCAATCAATAACCTTTCTCGGTGGAGAGATGTGTGGATTCAAGTCTCCATCCCACTGATGTGTCCTGGAAAAGAATCGCGTGACCAGAACAAGCAATTAGACATTGAAATCTTTCTGCCTTAACTGTGGGTTCAGGGAGACAAAACTTCTGGGCAATTTTGAGCCATCTGTAACTGTATCAGAATGCAAGAGTTTCTAAATTTTAGAAGATGTGGATAAATCCAAAGAGATACTTGGGGAACTTGGAGTTGTTGGGAAGATCTTTGCAAATTTGGCTAATTGAGTTTTTAATACTGGTTCCCACTGAATCAGATAGTTGAGCCAGGCACGGCAAAAACAGGGTAAGTTGAGCAGATGACATAACTCACTGGGTCACCTGGCCAGCACAATGCATTTCTTGATTTTTATAAAATTCAAGAGAAATTTTTCAGGTAGAGCTGGTTCATGTCCAAGATGTCACTGGACTCACATAAGAGACAGTCACCTATTTATAAGAGAAAGTGAGAGTAAAAATGTAGATTAAAACTTAGGCCTTAAAGTTTGAGGTAGCTATGAGAACAGGTGTACTTGGATGACATTTTAGACAGATAAGACAAGCAAGGTAGCCAGTTTTTTTTTTGTAGCCCTATTAATCTCCTAGTTCATTACGAAGATTATCATTTCATATAGAACCATAGAAGTTTAACACAAATGTAGTGATCAGGAGTATAAACAGAAGAGGTCCATTGTATTTGGTGGGGGGCGTGAGGTGCACACCTGTCAACACTTGGGCATCATATGGGATGCCAGGGATCCAAACCAGCTGGCCATATGTAAGGCAAGTGCCTTCCCCTCAAGCTGGAATTTTCTTTGTGTTGTATCAGTGGTGGTTGAATTTCCAACCCTGTTGTTCTGATGAAATTCTTCTAGCTGACATATGGAGATATCTTACTGTGGCTATTTTGCAGAGTTATTTTCAGAACATCATTTCTTATTTTAAAAAAATAGCAGGTAATTTCCTGTAGAGTCTCAAGTCCTTTCAGATAGTTATAGAATCTGGGGGGTGGAGACTTAGTACAGGGCTTAAGGCACTTAGCTTGCATGAGGGAGACCCAGTTCATTCCCTGGTATGACATAAGTTCCCGAGCACTGCTGGGGGTGGCCCAAAAGAATGTACTAACAAAAAAATTCTAGAATCTTTTTTCTCTTCATTTGGATGGAAGAGAATATCCAGCTATGTCCAGGGTTTACCCCTGGCTCTATGCTCAGGGATCACTTAGGAAGGGCTCAAGAAGCATATGTAGTGTTGAGAAACAATCCCAGGTTGGCTACATGCAAGGCAAGTGGCTTACCCACAATTGCTTTGGCGATCCCAGAAGCAAATACCAATTTCAAAAAGCTCATTCAGTTGGGCCAGAGAAGCATACAAGTGATCATCGTTTGAAAGTCAGCACTACTGTGGTCCCAAAACAATAACAGACTGGAGCTATAGCACAGCAGTAGGGCATTTGCCTTGCACGCAGCCAGCCCGACCGAGCCGGGTTCAATTCCTCTGCACCTCTCAGAGAGCCCGGCAATCTACCGAAAGTATCTTGCCTGCATGGCAAAGCCTGGCAAGCTACCTGTGACGTATTCAATATGCCAAACACAGTAATAGCAAGTCTCAAGAAAAAAAAAATGGAGACGTTACTGGGCCCGCTGGAGCAAACTGATGAACAATGGGAGGACAGTGTTTATTTGACAGTGTATGTTATCATAAATATTAAATATGGTAAAAGTTTCATTTCTTCAAAATGATAGAGGGTTCTATTTTCCAATAGTAATTATACTTAAAAAAATTACATTCATCCTGTACTCAGTGGAAACCTCAAAGTTTGTACACTAAGCTTAATTCACTGTAGGATGTAGGATGATTTGTTCATTCTTTTTTTTTCCCTTTATTTTATTTTTTTTTTAAGTTGTAGATTTACAATTTTTTGTGCTTTGGTTTCAATTATACAATGATCAGATACCCATCCATCCACCAGTGCCCATTTTCCACCACCATGGATAATATCCCTCCCACCCCCATCCCCCCATCCCCCCTGTCTCTGTGGCAGGGCAATCCCTTGTGTTCTCTCTCTCCTTTTGGGTGTTGTGGTCTGCAAAAGAGGCATTGAGTGGCAAACATGTTCAGTCCATAGTCTACTTTCAACATGTATCTCCCCTCCTGGGAGGATCCTCCAAACATCCTTTATTTGGTGCTTCCTTCTCTATCTGAACAGCCCTTTCCTCTAGGATACCCGGCTGGCCTCTAAGTTATGGAGTAATCCTCCTGGTGCTGATCTCAGCTATTCTTGGGTATTAATCTCATACTTTGTTACTTTATATCCCCCAGATGAATGCAATCTTTCTATGTCTATCCCTCTCTTTCTGACTCATTTCGCTTAGCATGATACTTTCCATATTGTACCACTTGTATGTAAATTTCATGACTTCATCTTTTCTAACAGCTACATAGTACTCCATTGTGTAGATGTACCAAAGTTTCTTTAACCAGTCATCTGTTCTTGGGCATTCAGGTTTCTTCCAGTTTCTGGCTATTGTAAAGATTTGTTCATTCTTAGGAAAGCTGTACAACCCACAATCATCCTCACTGAGGTTTGAGTCCATGTGGACAGGAATAGTGAGAGAGCACTGTGAGGTACAGCAGATAGATCTCTCTTCCCCCTGGAGAACACACCTCTTAGCAACACTGGTCTGTCTCTGAGGAACCATGTAGCAGTGGTGTGTGGCTACATGCAGAAAACTGAAAATGGTCGGGACCAGATGGTCATCAAGATGATTACAAAATTCGGCTTGAGGAAAATTCAGATTATATGTGTGTCTAGATGTTCTGAATATATTTCTAGTTGTATTTGAAAAATTATTCAGGGAAAAATAATCTTGTGCCTTGCTTAGTGATCCCTGCATGCATATGCATACAAGTGCAGTGAGAATACAGAGAAAGGCTCAGGGTGCCAGGGGCAGTCGGGAAGGCTGTTTGCAGGGGAGATGACGCTGTTTTGAAACTCCTTAGACACATAAGAGAAGTGCATATTGTCCCTGTGACATTAAGTTTGGAAGATAAAATCTTTAATAGAGTTAGAATATTTGAGAAACTAACCACTTCACTGCCAGTGTACTCAGAACAGATCTTTTTGGATGAACTGGTAATTGGCCTGCGGTTTCAGTGAACAGTGCTGATGGTTATTGTTTTATACAAAGATGGGGATAGAGGTTCCTGATAGCAAAAGATGGGTAAGAAAGTTGGAACATTTTTCTTTTTCCTGTAGTCTATGATCAACACAGATATATATATATATATATATATATATATATATATATATATACATATATACATAACGTGACTCAGTGGTAGAGTGAATAACCCACAGGAGACCCTGGGTTGGATTACAGGTACCGCACACACAAACAAAATAGTAATTTGGATTTTATAAAAAGAATAACCTGTCTAAGAAAAACCATTACTATGTGATAGAAATAAATATACATCATTCAGAGTTGAGTCCAACCATTTTCTTCTTTTAAATGTACCACTCCCACCAGCATCTGTTGTATGTTTGATTCTGACATTTCATCCCGGAACCCCTGAGACAGTAAACATTTTGCACCCTCTAGATGAGGGGTCACAAATTTGCTTGCTCTGAGATGCTGTTAACATCTCGGCAAAATTTCACTGCACTGAGTCCAAACAGCAAACCTGAGTTCCTTTCGTTAAGCAGTTCCACTTCAGGCAGCACTCAGAACCCAGCTTTGCAAAGACAGGACTTTAACCAAAGTCACAGAATCCAAGCTTACACCTGAGCCATTGGATGGTTTTAGAACATGAGAATTTGCTATCACTCAGGGCACTTCTGTCATGGCCACCACCCCCAGGAGGCTTTGTCCCCTTGAGTTCATCGTGGTCTCTTTCTGTTGCCCCCAGGAGAAGCCATATAAGTGCTCCGAGTGCGGCAAAGCCTTCAGCCAGAAGCGGGGCCTGGACGAGCACAAGAGGACTCACACGGGGGAGAAGCCGTTTCAGTGTGACGTGAGTTGAGCTGCTATTTTCTCTCCCTTGTGTCCACCAGGAACTGGAGCGTGAGTGCGGTGGGGACTGGTCTATGTCTGTTACTGTCTCAGGCTATTGATCTCTCTTGCTGACATAATCCATGTAAGCACATGGTAGTGATTTTATTGATCCTAGTTTACTGGCAGCAAGTAAACTCTGGTTTCTTCAAGACAGGCTTGCGCCCTGTTTTAATGCAATTGAGTCGTTCTCCCATGGTATAAATCTGCAGAAGGAGTTAAGGCTGATTTCATGTGTCTGCCCAAGTGTTTGCAGGTTAGTGGTGGCTAAAAAAGAGATTTAACTGGTTAGAGATATTACTTACTTGGTTAAAATTAAGTGACAACATTTTTTAATGTATAAACTCCTTTGTTCTAATAGTGCTACTGCTAATTCTTAAAATTTCCTGCAGTGGCATTTAAGCTCAAGTGAAATTACAGAAATAGATGCTTAGTTATGACCAAAAGAAGTATTCCCTGGATCAGTAAAATTAATTTGATCATTGATTAATTTGCGAGGGAGGGGGGGAAGATTTCTTAACAAAAACATCACCTTTCTCCTGCATAGGATTGACAGAATCAGCAAAGGTATTAGGGACATATAAGTATCTGGGTGCTTCTTTCAGACACAGAACAGAACAAGTGGGTTGGGGCAGCCCATGCTGGGGGAGCAGTTCAAGGTGGAATGTGCAAGGTTACAGAGCGCAGAACACTCCAAACATGGAAGGAAACTTGAGTCCCCTGCCCGGCCCTGTGGCAGATCCCGAGAGATGGAGCCGGGGGTATACAGTCTGTAGGAAAGGAAACTCACAAACACAAGATGTTTTGCTTGTCCTTCTGAGAAACTCTGGTGGTAAGGTTAAAGCAACAGTGAGCTCCCAGTGGGCCCCCCTATAAAAATACCTCTGTCAAAAGAGAGCTTCTTTTAAGAAAGAAATGTCCAAGAAATGTCCGGAACTGCCCCCACGATGGCATTTCAAGTGGTTTAATTGATTGGAAGCATATTCATCAGGGAAAACCTATTTAGATCATTCAGTTGTACAAGTCGACTAAAAAATACTAAAGGGAGACAAAGTAACTGTATGGACATCTTCTGCCCTCATACTCAAAGCTAGTTATTTTTTGTTGCCTATACTAATATTCTTAGATAAATTGGGCTAGAACATGTGCTTTTGAATGCGCAAGCATGATTTTTTTAAGTATTTTTTTCAATAGTATGTTCAAACTCTAATCATTTTTATCTGTATTCCTTTCTGCCTTGTAGCTTTTCCTTTGACAAATTCTTTTTCTTACAGAATGACTGAGGAAGCATTCACTGTTTTTTTTTTGAAGGGTTAGTGTTTAAGTCAATTTTTAAATGTTAGGTTCCAGTTCATAAAAGGAACCATTTGGTCCTCAACTTACTGAAATCTTTTTAAAAATATATATTTAAGCTCAGACTAGAGAGATAATATAGTGTGTAGGGTACTTGCCTCACACTTGGCTGATCTGAGTTTAATCCCCAACACCCCAGATGTTCCCCTGAGCCCACCAGGAGTGATCTCTGAACACCACTTGATATGTTGTCCACTCACACCCCAAAAAATACCCTATAGAAAGAATTATGAATGTTGAGAAAGTTGACAAAACACCTACATTTTTAAATCCAAAATGATGTGCAACAAGACATATCACAGTCAAATGATCAATAGCAATAAATATACATCAACCTGTATTTTTTTAAAAAGGCAGAGAATTTAAATAGGCATTTCACTACAAAAGACATGCAGATTACCAGACTACCAGCACAGAAGGGGTGTTCTTCATCTCTTTTCTCTAAAGCAGGGCAAGGGCACAGTAAGATTTCACCTCTGCTGGGTTTAGAATGGTTATTTTCAAACCTTTAAAATTTGGTTAAGTTGTAAATAGTATGGTAGGTCCTCCAAAATTAAAGTTAGAGGTGGAATGTCTAGATCATTTGGTAACTTTAAATATTTATTGAAGAATATGAAAATACTAGTTGGAAAAAGCATGTTCATCCTATGATCAGTGCAGCAACTATTTACAATAGCCAATATGTAGAGTAAACGCAGAACCCGTTAATGGATAACTGGATATCTGGTGAAAGAGATACGTGCACAGTGGAATATGACTCGGCATTTAAGAAATGATGTGGTTTTGCCTTTTCTGACAACATTGATGGAGTTGAGGGGATTAGGATAAGTGGGTTCAGTCAGCAGGGGAAAGACTAATTATATGGTATCTGTCTTTCCAGTTCTTTGTAGGATCTAAAGAAACAAAACAAAACTAAAATAATTCTTAGCTAAAATAAGAAAGAACTGGAATAGTGGGGAACACATTTCTACGTTTAAGATGCTTAAAGAATTTGTTAACCTTTATCTTTACAAATGGGGCAAAAATGCAAAGATTACTGGTAAAAAATATCTTGTGTCTCCTATGCTATAGAGATGCTATTGATATTACAGATATTTTAAGAGGTTTAATATGAAATCCGTCCACCCCATAGCGATGAGGGAAATAAAAGTGTTTGTAGAGCAGCAACTGAGACTCAGGGCCCCTACAGCCAATACATTGAAGTGCTTTGAACTATAATAATCTCAGTTTCTACCTAATATTCTGTTTATTTCAAGGTTCCTTTTTGGTACTTCTAGTCAGTACATATGAACAGGCATATGCATGATATCAATTGTTACATTGTCAGGTTTTTCAGTTTGATTAGTACCTTTGGATCTTTTCTAGGTTTGTGACTTGGCTTTTAGCCTGAAGAAAATGTTGATCCGACACAAGATGACGCATAACCCCAATCGCCCGCTGGCAGAATGCCAACTCTGCCATAAGAAGTTTACAAGGAGCGACTACCTCAAGGTGCACATGGACAATATCCACGGCGAAGCTGACAGCTAGTGGGAGCTGGACAGGCCTTAAACTATTCCAAGGTCTCCTAATAGGAAACCCAGAGGTCTCTCATCTGATTAATGGAGCAAAAGTTGCCAAAAATAATTCACTGGTCTCAATTTTTTTTTCACTTGCCTACATTTAAAGCCTGTAGATGCGAAGGCAAAAAGGAAATTCCAACTTTTACCAATCTATGAAATAGAAAAAAAAATCACTCTTGTAAAAATGGAGAAAGGAATCTTGACTTTTTTTTTTTTTTTTTGCATTTGAGTCACTCCCAGTGATGCACATGGTTACTCCTGGCTCTGCACTCAGGAATTACTCCTGGCAGTGCTCAGGGGACCAGCTGGGAATCAGGTTGGCTGCGTGCAAGGCAAACGCCCTATCTGCTGTGCTATCTCTCCAACCCCTCTTGACTTTCTTAAGAGACTGTAAGAACCTTAATGATCTCCATTAGGTCTTTCTAAGATTATTATTCTTGTGTGTATGTTTCTGCACATATACAAGGTTATTGCCTCTGGTTATTGCTAAGTTAGCCTGAAAAACATCAATGTTTTGGGGCTGGAGTGAAAGCACAGTGAATATGGCATTTGCCTTGCACATGGCTGACCCAGGTTTGATTCCCAGCATCCGGTTTTGGACCTGAAGCACCATCAGGAGTAATTCATGAGTGCAGAGCCAGTAGTAACCTGCATCGCCAGGTGTGACCCCCTCAAAAAAAATCATTATATCCAACTATTTCATTGCAAATAAGGGAGAAGGCAACAGCTTTCAAACTCCCAATCACAGAGAAAGGGTAAGACTTGCTTTCTCAGGAAATGTCAGTCTTTTGTATGACCCACAAGAGGTCAGTTTACAATAGAGGCATTTAAAAATGAAAACATCCTTGAAACATTTGTCCTTTTAAACAAGAAATCTTATTTCTTCTCATCATTTGTGCAATGGAATAGTTTTGTAAGATTGCCACAAATATGACCCAGGCCCTTCCCCTTTAAGATTCATCATGCTGACTCTCCCGAGTTCATAGAAGTTCTCATCTCAAAGTGCTCAAGGACTGAATGGATAGCATAGTGGCACAGGGGTCAGACATGAGTGACGATGAATCCATTCTTCGCCTGCTCATCACATGTAGGGCAGTTTACATGTTCATGCAGGTATCACTGCGGGAGAGCATCAGCATTCTGTTCTGCAAAAGATATTTCCAAAAATCTTGACTGACAATGGTGATCAAACACTTTTGAACTCCATCACGCTCTGTAATTTGGCGTCTACAGTGAAAGTACAGGTCTGGCGAGTATGATGAAAGAAATGATCACTGATGCTTAAGGGACATTGAAGTACAAACTATGCTTTCTTCCTTTAAGTTATATTCCTGTCATATTCTTAACGAATACTCTGAACAACTTGGGTTGGAGGGAGACAGGGTAATGATGCCATAGCAGCAGAGAGAAAGCCCCAAACCCAGGAAAGACAAAGCCCAAACTGGGAACATTTCTATTTGGAATCCATTCAGAAGAGAAGAAGTATAATTTAAAGGAAGTGATTTGATTCTAATCGTTTAAAGATTATCTGAAACTAGAGGGGCTTTTTTTTCTAAGTTAGGAATCTCATTTTAGAATTATATTTTTTGCTCACATCCATTTAGAAATGTAACCCAATTTAGGTATTTATGTAAAAGTGCTAAATTGAAACTCCCCAGAGATAACTTTAAAAAATATCCTTCCTTAGATCATACTTTAGAAAATATCAAAATATGGGTACATGTAGCATAACGTATCTGAAATGATGCTGTTTTATAAAACTCAATTTTGGTCTTATTTCTCACTGTTCTTTGTTTCGACAGCATATTTTTAGATCTAAAGTGCTTTGAATTTACTATGACAGTGTGTTTATATCACTTGAATATGAAAGGACAGCTGGAAAATTGGGTAATGTGTATTATTTTTAAAGCTTTTTGTCCATTCCCTGTGGATGCTGCCTCCTCTTTAGTGGAAGTTTCATATCCTAAGTATGTGACAAATGTGAAACCTGACAGGAAGTCAAATGCCAATTTTGTGTAATCTCACTGACTCACAATTCACAGGGCTTTGGGGGAAGTGACCCTCCAAATCTCACTGTCACCAAGCTGCCTGTAGGGAAAGTGATGAGCAAGAGATGCTGAGTGTGTCAGGCTGAAGGTTTGTTGAAAAGAAAAATCATAATGATGGGATGGAAAGACCCTCTGCTATAACCTTTCTTGTCAAATAACTGAAACCAAAGCAAGCTGAAGGACTGGTAAACCACAACATTTAAGAACTCAGCAGAAATTAAAGGACTACTCACCAATTCTTCCCCCCACCCCACCTGCCCGCTGCCTCCTTGGGCTGAGAAACTGATGATCTAAGTAGAGAGGTTTTACAGGTGAGCTTGACTACATGTTCTTTTCCTGTTGTCAACTGGCTCAAGTACTTTGGTGGCAAAAGACCAAATCCTCTGGACTGATTAATTGTAAGACATGTTCAATAACACCAGAGGCTTTCCCATCACCTTGATAATTTCCTTTGTATGTTACCTTGCCAGGCATTTGTAGATCTTTTTTTATGGCTATTGGGCCACACCCAGCAGGCTTAAGGAACTATATGCAGTGCCCAGGATTGCACTGAGGTTGGCCACATGCAAGGCAAGCACTCTACCCACTGTGCTTTCTCTCCAGCCCCAGATATTTTTTTATTTACAATATCACTTTTATTCTAATGAATCCTAAACTCATAGTCTGAAACTTTGTCTCTCCAAAATTTCTAGTTGCTGGCATCTTCTTGTCCTGCTAAACCTTCAAATCTTAGCTTCTATTGCAGTGTCCTAATTGGCTGTAACTGACCAAAGCCCTCAGCATCACTGAGTAATCCCTTCACTTGCTTTAGTACCTTGGTTTCTGTGAAGCTTCATCAGAAACTGTGTCTACTCCCCCACCCCCCACCCTCCCAGGGGAAAATGTGCCTCTTTATAACACTCAGTTTTTCGCATTAATATTGAAGTTTGTTTAAAAATATTTAAATAGAGCCTCCGTAAATATACCCAAACTTCAAGAAGGACTTACTATTAGGAGTTTCAGTAAATCATTGCTATGGTTGATGTCAGTATTGTATTTTACTGTAAAGCTGTAACTAACAACATTTAGAGTTAAGTGTAAGTGAATATTTTACATGCAAGAAGGAAATCTAATTGCCATTACTGCTGGGTCTCCTTGCTCTTATAGTTACATCTAAGCATTTCTGTATCTGGAAAGTTTAAAAGTGAAACTAGGTTGGGGTGAGGATTCTGAGACCCAACATTTGTAGCTACTTCTGCCATCCCCAGTTTCTCATCAAGCCACATCAGAACAAAGAAAGCCAAGGACACTAGCGTCTCTACTCAAGAATTACCCTGGTATTAACAAATAGAATGTAATAAAATATAAAGGTGATAACAGTTACAACCCTATGTCTTATGTTTTGAGGTGGGGGGCATACCTGACTATGCTCACAGATTATTCCTGGAAGAGTTTGGGGGAGCATAGATAGTGCTGAGAAAAGAATCCGGGTCTGTAGCATGCAAGGCAAGCACATGCTTTACCCTCTGTACTGTCTCTCAGGCCAGGTATACCACTTTTAAAAAGTGTTTATCAGCCTGGTGTATCTTTGGTGTATCTTTGGTGTCTGGGGTTTCTTCAGTTTTTTTAAAAGTATGCATCTCTAAAGCAGAGAACAAATGATAATTCATATATAACTACAATGTCCCCTGGGTTGCTAAATTTGTTGTGTAACACTTTAAAACATTTCAGAAGTACTTCACCTGGACCGCGTCAGAATATTATAGATTTCCTAGACCTATAGTGTAACATAGATGAAATCAGACTATTTCATCTAATAGTGCTGCCCCAGTGTGCACATTATTTTTTAAACAGATGTTTTAAACACAATAGTATAAATTGCTTTGTTATATTTGTTACAAAAAATAGGCTAAGTACTTGGTGCTGTTTTTAATTTCTTAGTCCTGCAATGCAAGCAATTAGAATGTTTTCCATTCTTCAGTTCATGCTGCTGGGCCTGGTGCATGGCTGAAAGAAAAGCAAGGCTTTAAGTATTATTGCTTACTATATGCTGAATATTGAGCAAGGATCTAGGACTGTTGGCATGTCATCTAAATTCAGGTAAAGAAATTTGGATAAAATATTGTTTTGGTCTAGAAATACTGTAGGCTCAGGGCTGGAGCAATAGTAAGGTAAAGTATACAGTGAGTAAGGTAAGGTGCTTGCCTTGCATGCAGCAGACCCAAGGTCGATTCCCAGTGTCCAATCTGATCCCCCTGAGCCTGCCAGGAGTCATCCTTGATGTGCAGAGCCAGGAGTAAGCTCTGAGCACAGCCAGTTATGCCCCCCCCAAAAAAAAACAGGAAAAAAGTGGGGGACAGGGGAATACAATAGGCGTATAACTAGGAGCTCATTAACACTTAGAAAGTTCAAAAGTAAAATTCATTTGCTTCTGCAAGCTAATATACAAATGAGAGGAATTCCAGGACAAAGTGGACACCTGACTTTTTCCATTGCTTCATTTTGTTTTGTTTTGTTTTGTTTCTTGAAGGCACCAAATACTGCTCTTTCCCTTAAAGTTTCAATTTTGTTGGGTGTCTATTCTGTGATGTTATATGGAAGGGACTTTTTTTTTCACTCTAGTGAAAACTGTATGTAGATTTTAGCTCTGCTTCTAATAAACCACTTCTGGTTAAAATTGCACATTTAAAAAAAAAACTGACAGTTCTCTATGCCTTTCAGTCTGTGATGGTGATTTGTCCCGCCTTTTCCTGATCTCTCCTCGCTCTGGTCTATACTCAAACTTTCTGTACACCAACCAGAAGGTTGGGTGATAGTCTGACATTGTAGAAATGTTCTATGGTTCTAGCTGAACCAAGCAGGTTTGGATGCATTTGCACAGGACCAGAGACCGGACAGGGGTTAAGGTGTATGCCACACACGTAGCTGACCATAGTTGCATTCCTGGGTCAATTGCTGGGTGCCAGCTTGGAGGTCACAATGCACTCCTGGAGTGGCCAGAGCACCCCCAGGCTTTGAACTGAAGCCTGATTGGCCAA